AGCAATAAACAGCACAAGAGTAATAGCATCTGAGGCAATCTTGAACTTTGACCTCAAGATGTTTTGTTTTGTTTTTATTTTTGGGAAATTTTCAAAAGCATGCACATGAACTTCCTGGTTGATAAGCACAGTCCAAATTCAAGACGTAATCGTGCACCTATTTGATTATCTAGTTTGGATGTGTTTTTAAACTGTTTTGTAGAAAAAGTCCAACCAGGGACAAGAGTTAAATATTTGCACTAGCTGCACACTGCATGTTCTACCTATGACTCTGTATGACTGCACTGTCCCAGTTAAAGAAATAAAGAAATAAAACCAACACACATTTTTCAATAGTCACTTGCAAACTCAGAACCCCCAACTACAGCGCCACAAGGCTGCACTTTTGCATGCTTGCTTTCTTTGCCAGCGCAGAAATGAATTATATCACTTTTCACACCTGTTTCTGCTCAAAAAGCCCTGCTACACTGCACTGTAAAAAAAAAAAAAAAAAAAAAAAAAAAAAAAAATCTGGGGGGAGAATGAACGCACCTCCAGCTCTGCTCCATCTGCGTCTCAGAGCAGTTAAATTAGACTCTAATTGTATTAACTGGGGATTATGCCTTCCAGTTGGAGTTTTTATACTCTGGAGTTAGATTTTACATGTTTTTAAAAGAGGAGGCACAAATGGGAGCTCGTCAAGGGGGTTTTGCGGGTTGGCTCCTTTTATGAGCTGCAATCATGGTTAGCCCCTCGTTACTCCGAAGCTGTGTACAAATAAGAGGGGCGGAGAGCCAGTGCAGTATTGTGTGTGTGTCTGCCAGGCTAATACAGCAATACTAACCAATGCCATAGCCCCTCCTCTCATTTCATACAATAGAAGGAACAATCTAAATGGAATATGGAGGGTGTGTGTGTCTGTGTGTGTGTGTATGTGTATGAGGGGAGGGCGGGGTGAATTCTATCTAATTACTCTATCACATAATTTCACAAATTGCCTTTTCATAGGGGAGTGGAGAGGAAACGCTGGAGGATTGGAGGCTTGAGCTTTCATTTACTACTCATTTCTTGTTAAATTAAACAAGAAAATACCATTGTTGAGGAGAGCTGGGGAGCTGGCGGTACATAATAATATAATAATAGCTTTGGAGTAAAGTAAATATTGGACAATTTTGATCGAAGCATGAGACAAAATGACAAGCTACTTTAAAAGGAATGTCATATCTAACTTACACAATTCGCTCTCTTTACTCACTTAGCACCCTTAGTTCAACAGGATAGCAACAGGGATGGTATGCAAATTTTTTCAGGTTAAAGGCTGCCACACACTACAGGATTTTTCAGTCTTTTTTTAAATTTTTTTAGATTTTTAAATGACAAATGTGAGACAAATGTACACACCACACACATGAGGAACCTTATGAGATTTAAAATCTCTTATCACAAAGACTGCAGTGGAATATGTCTGCGGACCACACGCTACACAGTTGTGAGTGCACGTATTGTCAGCTGTTTCCTGTCTACAGTAAAACCACTCGCTTTGAGACTCTTAAGTGTTCAAAAGATCAGAGCACTGCAGTTCTAGTTTAGATACAAGTCAGAACTATGTTATTATAATTTGTGAAAAGTGGTACAATACTTCAGATACATGATTTTTAATGCACAGAAAGTTGACGATAAAGCACACAGGAAGTAGAGTCACTATGGCCAATCTGCAGCTTCACAGCGATCCATGCTCTGTTTTTTGGCTGGTACCGTAGTGTTGCTGATGTTTGGTGGTTACAATCTGACAGAGCATACGAAGACACAAAGTCAGGTCACACCTCCCCGAACTTGAGGAAAAGCGAAAAATCTGGCAAATTCTCCTGTAGTGTGTGGCGACCTGAAGAAATCACAACCGTTTTCATGTGAGGCAAGGACAATACACACCCACAGTGTACATTGTTTATGAACATAGCTCGATTAGATTTATGGCTAATAATTCAATTGCCAAATTTGAAACCATATTTTAGCCATTTTAGCCAAATGCAAAAAGGTATGATTAAATGGAAATATACTTTAACATAACAGGCCTACAGTTGCATGGGAAGCTATAGCTGCATCAAGTTTAGCAGTTTCAAGCTAACATTTTTCCATTGAGTCCATGTCAACACAGCATGATCCTCCCAATGAACATGTCCCAACAACATCCATAACACTGCATGATCTCACTGGGTGTGTCAGACTGAGACGTGCCAATATTTCGTCACCATCTCCAAATCATGACCACTGTTGAATCAGCCACTTTTGTCACCTTTATCTGAAAAACGAATTTTATTCTTGTGCAGTTCTAGCCTAAAAACTAGCATTGATGCCACCTACTCTGTATATTTCTGTGCCTAAGTGCTCCTCCCCCCTCCCTCTTTCCCCACAACATATCTCCCCAGTGGCACCAAGTATGAAGGCGGATACCGAAAACACCTAACTCCAGACTAACGCCATAATCTATTCTTCTCACTTTGCTCATCTTTGTTCTTGTGTAAATGGGTTCCATGCGAGTTTAGTCCTGGCTAATTTCAGAGTGGTGTGGTGCCACTGCAGTCACATCTGTGTAATTGGTCTATCTCTGAGAGGCCAGACTCTCCCATTTAGAGACAAAGAGTGGGCACAAGACGATGCCAGGGTTTGGTTTGGCCTGTCGATTTGAATCTAACAGCCAATAAAAATATAGTTCTTAAATCTAAAATCAAGTTCCAAACCTGATACCAAGGATTATATGAAATCAGCTATGAAATCATCAACAAAATTAAATTGAAATGACAACTGACATCCACTGAAAAAGCAGCAACCCACTATCCATTCATCGAAAAGTAACAAATGGTCTTGTAGGATTATGTAATATCCAATAATACCCAAAGTTGAAAACACACACACACGCAATACTTTCAACTTTTTTTCTTCAGTAATATTATTTTTGTAACTAGGCCTGTCAAGATAATTACTATAATGACTTATCATTCAATATATGAAAGTTGGAACAATATTATTTTGGAGTGAACATTTACAATGTGTACATACAGTAAGTATAATACTTTGCACTACTGGAAAATTTGGGGTTATTTTTTGGCTGTATGATAAGATTTAAGCTGTAAAAGTTTGAATTAATAATTTATATGATTCATTAAAAAAGCAAACCTAGTAAGTACTAAACTGCTTCAGTCTGCTCTTTATTTATTGCAGAACATGTTTTTTTTAAACACTATTGCAGATTTAGAATATTTTTTAGGCTATTGTGTCAGTGGCATAAATTAATTTCAGTATATTCAGTTTATTGTCTATTTTAACTCTGCAATATATCACACTACAAATGTGTTATTGCGACACTCCTATTTGACATTGAAAATTCCAATCTTGGTTTTCACCACAATTTTGAACCCACACTGTCCCAAAAATGCACATTGTGTCTGTAGCCCATCTTGTACTTTAAGACTAGCGCCTGAGAGCACAGAAAGGCTCCACAGATTCTCCTTATCCCTCTTCTTCACCTCCTTGGCCTTCTCCTCTCGACTCTTTTCTTCTCCCTTGCTCCCTTGACACTCGTGTATATCCTTCCCACTGTTGGAGATCTGAGAGTGAACAAGCCTCCCATAAGCTGGAGCCCTGGTGTTATATGACATTTGGCTTTTGGGGAGGAAGTGTGCATGTTTCAAACACCTTTTCCTCTGCGGCCCTCAAGGTTTCTGAGGTATACAGGTTGGGGTTAGGGAGAGGGAGGTGAACGGACAATGAAGAGTTGGTGGTTGGGGGATAGGGGTCAGATGGAAAAAAAAAAGTCCAAGAATGTCTTATAGCTGCCTGCAAATACACACTCCTATTTGAAATGCAGGGAACTTCCATATGGCCAGTAAACAGTGAAACGATTCTCATAGACCTTATCATGCATCAACATCAAAGAAAAGACTTGCAATAAATATATAAAAAGTTCATGCAATATTCACAATCCAACAACCAAATTACTTTTCACAGCATCTTGCGTGATGCTTGGTGAAATTCAACCCCATCCAAACTGTATTATGTTTTCCACATTTTGGGAGAAGTATTGGGAGTATAGGTTAGATTGCAAACAGTGTAATTTAGATCCAGTAAACATTTCCACTATGTCAAGTTATTTTTAGTAGTGCCTCTGAGTATAATCTAAATTGTGGTCTGCAGTCTGAGTTGATTACATGTGAAACGTCTCAGAACTACAATGATGTAAGATGTAACCAATTTGTAATGTACCAGCCAGTGCAAAGGTCTTTTCAGGCATGGGAAAAAGGTGTATCTTTAAAGGTGCACTATGTAACTTTTCTGGTAGAGAGTCTGCCACCTGTTTGTCTTCATGGAAATGTTATTGCCTTGCCTGGAATGTTCCTCAGTATAGCAAAAAACATAACTATTCAGCATTTGTTCAGGTGTACAGAAGTTCTGCTCGTAAAAATGGCATAACATTTTTTCAGTATAGGTAGGTTCCACACAGATCTGACCTGTAATTTGTTAGTAAGATAACTCTAATGACATATTGTGAAATATTCTAGGCAAAGCAAAAGCATCTCCATGGAAACAAGGAGATGGCGGACTTCTATTGGAGAAGTTAACTTAGAATTACAATCCTATAACCAAATTGCGAAAACACCATCTGAGATATTGGTATTCCCAACTTAAATAGCGTAAAACGAATGCAGAACCCTAGAATCGCCGACATCTGTTGAATAATGACAGATTTGTTTCTAATAAGGTTCATCTATGTATCTGCAGCAGCTATGGCCAGGGGCATCTCTCCTTAGCTTCAACGTTATTCAGTTTCAGCAGAGATCGCCGGCAGATTACACAGGCCTTGTCTTTGAAGTGTTCCCCATACCAGCACTGGGATAGACTGAAGAAAAGAGTGGATTCTTGTGGTGTCAATGAGCACGTATTGGTATCTTAAGTGTGTGAGAGAGAGTGAAAGCGCCTGTGGCTGTGTAGGAAGCTATAATGTGCACGAGTTTACTTCTACTTACTGTTAGATGCTGGAAAAGCCATGCTCTCATGATGTTGGTGGCCACTTTGGGGAAGATTCCTCTCTTCTTGTTGCGCTTCTTTTCCTTATCCGGGTCATCGTCGTCCCCCGTGCTTGGTGAGGCTACACTGTTGTCCAGACCGTCACCTGTCACATGACACAAACAGTAAAAGACAGAGCAAATTAGTCTCCCTATTTGTTTACTTCCTGAATATGTGATGCATCCTCCTTCAAAGGGAATAAATACAATTTCCAAGGAATTCTAGAGGGCTTTGTATGCACAGACTAAGGGGTATAGAGACACAACAATGGCAAGCGCGAATGGCTGGAAAACAGCACCTCATAAATGCATTCATTTTTAATACATTTATAAATAACCCTGCCTTTCATTTTGCTCTCCCCGCCACATGAAAACACACCAAGCGCTGCGTCTCTGAGTGTGAGGAGGGGAGCACAAAGGACTTGTAAGGTCGCATTTCCCCACTCTCCCATCCAAGCCGGCGCAGAATTGAAAATGACAGAGAGATTTAGTCTTTATTATCCTGAGGGGAAAATAGTTATTGAAGCGTCACCCCACCACATTCTGCCATTTTACCTGAGGTGGAAAGAGGAACACGACACTACAAAAGGCAAGGTTGCGACAACGAGGAGGGGGGCAGAAAATAAAAGCAAAAAGCAAAATAGGTGGAAAAACGAAAGTGAGAGGCACAAACAGCAATAACAAAGCTAGCTGCTTTTCATAACAATGGCATCATGGCTGCTTACAGCAACCTGTAGGGCTTTGATAAGGCTCTATTAAGGCCAGTTAACCTCACCTTAGGGGAACACTGAGACAGCTTAGAGTCTTTGAGCATGCAGGGACAGACACTCCAAGGCCTTTTCTCTGCATTCACCAGACTCCACACAGTGAGAGAGAGACTCACTTACTGCAGCTTATTCTATAGACCCATGATTCTATTTGCGTCTGTGCAAAGTCTAATTGCTATTATCCATATAGCAACATTCTACTTGAGAATAATAAAAGAAACATGAAGCAAGGTAAACACATGCTGCTGGAAAATTTGAGCAGCAGATAAGTGACTTTTGTCCTCATAAAGGGAAAAAGAAGGAAAGGAAAGAAGCTAAAATAAAAACCGCTGAAGCAGTGTGCGGAATTGGATGCTTATTTATTGATTATACACAAAGCACTTCTTAAGCTTTTATGTCAATTCACTGTGGCACTGGGAGATAACTACATTCAGGCAAACCCGTGCTGCACTAACTTACAGAGGGCGACACCCAGCACCTAGCTAAACCCTAAGCCCTGATTCATCGATAATTAATGGGGATGTTGGCGCTAATCCGGTTGGAGATGACTTTTTTCCAGCCCGCCACATCAATGGAATAATCAAGGGCCTAAAACCAGGCCTTTGCTCCCCATTACCTCAGGCAAAAGAATTCCTGAAAGCATGCCTGGAGGGCACCTGAATTATATACACCATTAGGAGAGAGAGGCTCGCAATGATCCATACGAAACAACACTGGGCCAGAGTGCGTTCTCATCCCCTCTTCATCAGTCCAACTGTTCTGGCAGCACAAGATACATATGCACAAATATTGAAGGCTTTTTAATGAAGCACTGGTAGCAGCAGAGAGGATGCTTTGCAGAGTGGGGGAGGGGAGGCACCTCCACACCAACACAACTCTAGTCACTGAATATTAGTGATGCATGTTATGTAGAGTGATGACCAAAATAGACCAAATAATCTATGGTGTTTATGAAATGACTAGTGATTATGGAAAGTAAGACTATATTGAATGTTGGGTCAATAATGCCATTGGTGCATATGTAATCCAGCCATCCAGCCATTATGAGCCAGGTGTTGGAGATGAGCGAGGGTTATCACAAAGGAAAGTACAGTGCAAAGGAGCTGATCTGGTTAGTTTGAAAAACATAATCCTGAAAGCTATGAATAAGTTCAGCATCTAGTTAAATAACAGATGCGGCAGGTATTTCTGAACAAAATACTACAAATACAGTTGATAAAAAAGTACCAAAATTCATCTATAGACAAGCTCAAGACTTACTAAAGCCCAAAGTGGTACAAGAAACCCCACTAACCCCACCCATCAAACTCCCGTGAGCCCTCTGTGTTTAGAAGCACACTCCAATTTCAAGTTTAAGTTACATCATTAGCCCAGGACAAATGCACCCCAGACTTAACAACTGGCTCTATACTGCCTACTGTTTCAGACCAGAAGAGCCCCCTCCTCTCTCTTCCTCTATGTGTCTCTGCCACGGCTGGAACAGAGCAGAGAGAGGAGCTGAGCCTGGGCCCTGTAATCTAAGACCAGATTTTCATTGGAAGCAAATGCTTTCAATCCGTTGTAAAGACCGGCTCATGTTCAGCAAAGCCTACAATAACAAACCGTGGGGCTTGTCCCATGCAAGTTAGAGGAGTTAGGAGACGGAGGCGAACTGGCCATGGTACCGTACGGTGGGTGAGGGAGTGGGGGAGTGGACTGGTGCAAGCATAAGCAGAAAAGCAAGAGGTGAGAAATGGCTAAGGGCATTGTAATGTGAGGTAAATTGGAGGAGAGACAGTAAAGAATAAAATATTATGGTAAGCTTAATGAGGATGATGATGATGAAATAGCACTAACTCAGAAGCACTTTAAAAAATGGGGATGAGTGGGGGGCATTTTAAAGCCTGCACTTGATGTACAATATTTTAAACTATTTATTGGACTGTTTTTTGTACTGATGATAACCTGGACATGAGTACAATTTTTCGTTTCTGTGTAATTTTTATTCTGAAATTAGTTCTGATTCTGAGTTGCTACTATTACTATGAAAAAAAAACCAAAAAACATATATTACAGAGTTTTCTATATCAACTTATGTTTAAATTGTGTATTAATCATTATACAGTAAACATCATTTTTGATCTATATTAAGCACAGTGCAAGTACATTACACCATTATGTGTAAGTAAATCATATGCCAAAGTTGGTGAGTGGGCCAGTAATAACATGAATCTTACGTTTACTGACTTTATTGTTGTTTTAACCACCACATTATCTTCTACTGTAAGTACCATTTCATAGAAGGCAAAATGAAGAATTTGGGATTAGTCATTGTATTTGTCTTTTCCACATTAGGTGCAATTCGATATGAGTGGCCTCTGTAACGCCTGGGCCTGATTTTGGTGCTTTCCTTTAACCTTACAGTCAAAGTAGAAGCAGCAGGAGCAGGATGAGAATGACCGAGGGAGCAGGGAGCAGTAACACAGGAAAGGTGTTGGAGCTGTGTCTGGCAGCCATGTTGTGGAAATGTCAGCAGTGTTAGCTAGGGGAAAGGGGGAGCAGATCTCACAACAGCACAAATGATACAAAGAATGGATCAAATGCAGGTGACTATTTCTACAACTAATGTTATGAAACTATGACTATAAAATCCATTCTTAATCTTTTTTTTTTCTACACTGCTGTTGCATTTGGTTCAATAACAGATTCTCCATAACTACCCAGGCTTTGGAATGGCATAAAGAGAACAGTGAAATACTATGAAATCCATCCACCCAGATAGTAAGTAGTGCATGTTGTCAGTCAAACGTAAGGCAGTTGAAGAGGCCAGTGAGCCAGTGGAGCAGTCAGCCTTCCCTCTGCATACCCAGGCTGCCAGGCTCATTACGGGCATCAGCAGCCTGTAACTGTGGGCTGCATACATCCAGTGGCAGGAAAAGACCTGCTAGCATAAACTCCACTCTCGCTATGAGGAAAAGCCACAGGCACAACTCTGGACCCGGCCTACTGATCGCCCATGACGTCTTTGAAACTACACAGAAGAGGAGCTGAGGGGGAGCTGAGGGGGGGGCTGGGGTGGACGGGAATCAATGCGGGGCAGTGGGGGTGCGTGTTCATGAGTGGTGTACGCATGCATGCATATGTGTGCATTGGTCTGTATGTACGCATCTATGGCTTTTCTTTATGGATGTGAGTTTTCTGCCACAGAAGCCCCAAATGCGTGTGTGTGTGGGGAGAGAGAGAGACTGTGTGGCAATTAGGGAGCAGGCCAGTGACTGGAAGGAGCCAGGGGCAGTTGAAATGCCCCCGGGCCAACCAAGGGAAGGAATATTTTATCAGTCCCCTCACACGCTGTATACACAAATACACACTCTCACAAACACAATATGCCAGCAAACAGATAATGACATATAAACTAGGTTAGTGCTCATTTTAACTAGCTTCGTTAGTGTTAGCGAAACACACAGTGACTTGAGCACTCATTCGGCTTCAGTAGGTTTTCTATAAGCCTCCACAGCACTTCATGTCTCATTCTGGCTTCCTTCTCTCCTACTTCATTACTCCTCTCAGTGTCAGCTGCAGCTCTGGCATGGAGGAGCTTTGCAGAGCACTGCTGATTTAACACTAATGCACTTTTAACTGTGAAGTTAAATACATAAGTGCATGAAGTTTTCTTACTTCAGTCAAGCAGACAGCAACACAAACATATCTGAATTAATTAGGTTACACATATATAATTTAGCAGTCCTGCTTTGGGTTGTTTAATACGTCTGCACCATCACGTCTTGGTGTCCAGTTTCCTGGTCTTCATCAACTCTCCTCATATCTCTGTCTCAAGGCGTACCCTGACATTATCAAGCAGAATCTAGGCTAATCTGTTATGATCTGATTATTAACCATGTAAAACATTGGGATGGTTCTACCTGCCCCCTTTACAGCAGGGCACACGTGCCAATCCGAAGTGTCAGCCATTTTTCTGCTGCCTAGCAAATTAACAGCCAGCGCTTCACTAGTCAGTCATCTGAGAAAGGCAATCTTGTCAGACACGTCGCTTCTAGCGCAGAGAAAATTATGACATTTAGCTTTCTAATAATTTCACGGGAATAAAGGTTATGAATATTAGCTCTGGTTTGGGCTGTATTCCATTCGGGGATGATCCACAGATGGCTAAGCATTTTTGGGAGATGTTTTTGCCAGGTTTTATAGTGCGTGGAGGAGAGCAGGGGCAGCGTACAGTTTATGACGGTGCAGTTACAGCGTATGGGCTATTTGTTGTGTGAGAGTGTCATTGAGTGTGCGAGTGACCTGGAGCTGATCCCTCATGGGCCACTCCTCGAGTTTCACACCCCAGAAAAGC